ACGGCCGAAGGGTGAATCTAGGGCAAGGGCCCCCGGGTAACCTTATCCCCCCAGCTCGAAGAGATGCTCTTCCAGGAGGCGGACGGGATGAGAGGAAGAGGAGGGGGAGGGCGAGGAAAAGGGGGAGAAGGAGGATCAGGGGGGCACCTCGATTGCAGGGGCGCCCGCGACGTCGAAGGCCTCGTCCCACCGAAAACCGTCGATCTCCCTCTGCACCTCCTCCAGCCTAGTCATCAGACACTCCATCGAGTCGCCAGGCGCCTCAACGCGCGCCTGGCGCCCCGTCTAAGATCTGACGAACGGGCTGGAGGAGGCGGAGAGGGAGATGATGACGGCGACTCTGGTGCCGGCGATGACGACGATGAGGGCGACGCCGGGGACGATGTTGACGGTGGTAACCATGATGAGGAACAGGGCGAGATAGGACGAGGAAGGGGAGAGGGGTGGAAGGGGGAGGCAAAAGGTGGGAAGGATGTTCGGAACCGCGCCTGCTCGGGCGCGCTCGGGCCCGCGTCGACCTCGTGCGCGTCCACGAGGTCGTTCAACCAGGTGTCCTGTTCCAGGGGCATCCCGGCGAGCCTCTGGCCTCTGCAGCAGAGGCGAGCTAGGGCCGGAAACTCTCGCGCCGAGACGGTTGCAGCAGAGGCGAAGCCGGCAAATCTGACCAGACAAGGGCTACTAACTTCGCGCTTCGCGCTGCTCGAAACGCGAACAACTTCGCGCTCTCGCGCCGCCCCCAAGGGGGAGAAGAGGATGACGAGGAGGAGGGGGAGGGGGAATGCCCGCGAATCGCGAAACGCGAATAACTTCGCGCCCTCGTGGGAGCCCTTGCCTCTTGGCCTGGCCCTCCGTCTCTCCTTCTCCTCCCCCGTCTCCCACCCTCCGTGCCCCCCGCCCCTCTTCCCCTTCTTCGTCGTCGTCGTCCTCCTCATCCTCCTCCTTACATATCCCTCTTCCCGCGCGGGGCAAGCACGCGCGCGGGCAAGCACGCGCGGCCCCTCTCCCGCGCGGGGCAAGCACGCGCGGGAGCAAGCGCGCGCGGAGCTGAGGGCGGGAGCCCCCCTGGCGACGGCGACGACGAAGACGACCCTACCAAACAACCCCAGGAAAACTTGTCCTCCCCCCCTTCCTCCTCCTGGCCCACCCCCGCCCTCGTGCTCGCCCAGTCGGCGATGCCGGTGGTGCGCCACGAGGCCCCCAACAGCCGACCCTGGGACCCATCCAGGGAAGCACGTTTGGGCAGGAGAGGAGAGTGCGCTGGAGGAGGGGGAGGAGCAGACGCTGGAGGAGGGAGAAGGAGGAGAATTCATCCCAACCAGCCATCTGGGCGTAGGTGGTCTAGGGAGCTTCCTCTTCCAACCTCCTTCTTCCCCTGCGGGGAGGGCCCCCTCCCCTGGACCTGGGCGGGGGGCGCGGCGAGGGGTTGGAGCGTCCAAGATGGCCCAATGCGGCTCCAAGAGCGCCTCAGCGAGCCTAAGACGAGCTCCAAGATAGCTCAAGATAGCCTAAGATGCCTCAAGACGGCTTCGAAGATGCTCCAAGAAGCCCCAAGACCGCCCCAAGACGGCTCCAAGAGGCCAAAGACTTGGGCCAAAGAGGTTCCCAAGGAGGCCTCCACGAGGCCCAAATCTTTCAAACACTTAAAGGAAACCAGTGATGTTTGCCTTCTTGCCTTTTCGCTTCCGATGGCCATCCGAAGCCTCAAGATGGCTCCAAGACGCCCCAAAGAGGGGCCCAAGAGAGCCCCAAGACGGCCCCAAGAGCGCCCAAGAGCGCTCCAACAGCGCCCCAAGAGGGGGCCGGGAGGCGAGTTTGGGGGCTCCCGATGAGGGGGGGGGGGGGGGCCTAATTGGGTGACCCCCTTCTTTGATCGATCCACTCCAAGATTAAGATGGCCCCAAGAGGCGTCCAGGAGGCCCCACGATGCCCCAAGATGGCCCCAAGATGCTCCCAAGAGGCCCCCAATTGGCCTCCAAGAAGCCCCGAGAGGCCCCAAGATGGCCCCAAGAGGCCCCCAAGAGGCCTCCAAGATGATCCCAAGCGGCCCTCAGAGGCACCCCCGAGGCACCCAAGACGCCCAAGAGCCCCCCTGGAACGCCAAGAGACCCCCGAGACGCCCCAAGAGGCATCCAACTGGCGCTCAAGAGATATCCCAAGAGATTCCGAGAGGCATCCAAGAGGCCTCTGGCCCTTTCGCTCGCCCTCCTCCTCCATCCTCCTCCTCCTTCTCCTCATCCTGTTCATCATCATACCCCCCCCCCTCTTTGCTCCTACACGGCCCTCATCACCTCAACTTGCCTGGGCGTCGTTTCTGGATGGGCTGGTGGGGATGCGCGAAGCGTCGAGAATTCAGCCACGCCCCCAAGAAAAACGAATGACCGTTCGCCCCCCTCGCTCTGATCATATGTTTCCGTTGGTCGCTCTCGGGGCCATCCCGGGGCCTCTGAAAATTCTCCTCGACGGTCTCCCCATCTCGGATTTTGAAGGAGGCCCGAGAGGGGCCTCGGGGGAGCCGAAACGAAGTCATGCGAGGGCCTTCAGGATGAGGGGGCGGGCGAAGCGGCGATGCTGTCCGCTTCCTGCACAGAGAAACTGGAACGTTGGTAGGTCGCTGTCGGCCCTCGCTCTCGCCGTGGCCGCTGACTCCCGAATTACTCACAACAACGCCTAAGGAACGATCTCTGGCTCGTCCGCCTCACCGGGCGCTCGAGCCCGCTCTGCTTGTTCCAAGATGTGCCATGCTGGATGGCGCTTGAGACGATCGCGGGCAGCTTGACGCTGCTCCTGAAAGTCCTTACCACCAAGCATCCTGTTAAATCTGATCGAGGCGTGGGTAGCCCGATCGTGCTGCTGCTGAACTTCGAGCCACAGTGCTAAGAGCCCCAGGACTCCCCCCTGACCAAATCTGCCAGCCTTGGTCTGTCGGTCAAGGTGGCACTTGTAAGGGGCGATGTTCAAGTGAGCGGGGCACCCGCAGTGGGCGTTGCAGTGCCCCTCCTTAAAGCAAAAAGAACCTAGGTCGCCAAACTTCACATGCGTCCACCCCTTCTCCTCGCAGACTCCGCCGTCGGCAGGGGCCGCGGCGGCGTCGGCAGGGGCCGCGGCGGCGTCGGCAGGGGCCGCGGCGGCGGCTGGGTCAGGAGGAGGAGGGGCGGGATCGGGAGGGGGCGCAGGCGGCGCGCCCACCCCCGCGGCTGGGGCGACCCTGGCTCTCTTCCTAGGCGCGACCTTCGCAGCGACCCTAAGCTTGTGCTTCGGCTGCTTCGGCTTCTTCCACTTCTTGAGCAGCGGCGCCAACTCGAGCTCCAACTTCTGGATGGCGTGCGGGTCGTCATGCTCGTCGACATCGCCATGGTCGCCGCCGCAGTCCTTGCCCTCGCGAATCGAGAAGATGCCGTACGGGTCGTTGGCAGCCGCGATCGTCCTCATCATGGCCTTCACGGCGTCGTCGACCATGCTCGCCGCAGCGCTCTTCTTGGCGCTGCCAGCGTTCCCAACTGGCGCGCCCGGTGGCGTGGGGAACACAACGTGCCGGTCACGCACTTGCAGCGCAGCTGGCAAGAACGAGACCTCATTCGAACCGGCGCACCTCCACGGACCGCGCGGGGCGCTGATCGCTGAAAGCGGCGTCGTAAAGCGTCTTGACGCCCAGCTCAAAGACGAGCTCTTCAGTTCCTGGGCCAGCCGTCTCATACAATGCGGCGCACCGGGGGGCCCCGTCGACAACGGTGCACAACGCGAAAGTGACTTCTGCACGGGACGCAAGGACGGCGTACTTCTCCGCCGTGCGTCCGTCCTCCCAGACGGCGTTGATCGAGAGGAAAGTGCCGATGTCCCAACCGCTGACAATCGAGGACAGCTTGGCGAAAGCGGCTGACGAGCACTCAGATCCGCCACCGTGCCCCCTGGCACGTTGAAGCGCGCTAGAATGGCTGCTGTCTGACAGGGGCCATTATTCTTGTAAGTCCCCCCCCCGCCCCCGCCCCACCCCGCCCCCCTCTCGGGGCGCGCCGACCTGCATGCATCGCCCGCTCTTCCCAAGGCTCCACACAAGCCCCCGGCGCACTCCAAGGCGTCCAAATTATTCAAAATGGCTCCCAAAAAGGACCTCGGAGACCGCCGCCAGAGCCGGCAAGATGGCCCTGATGCCTCCAAGATGGCCCAAGATGCCCCAAAGCAGCACCAGGAGCGCTCCAAGAGCCCAAGAGGGCCCAAAGAGGCAATCACCACTGACATTCAATGTGTGCTTCGATGTCTTTTTTCACGCAATCGCCTCATAGCCTATAGCCTATCGGCGTCTATCGAACTTCCGAAGCTCCAAGACGGCCCCAGGGGCCCGTAAGACCGCCCAAGAAGGCCCAAGAGACCCCCAAAGGGAGCCCCGCGACGGCCGAAGAAGGCCCCCAGAACGGCCCAAGACAACAAGATGGCCCCAGAAGGGGCCCAAGAGACGGAACGCGAACCGACAATTCGAGCTTTCCACCTGAAGAAGCCCCCAGGAGGCCCGAATATGCCTCCAAGAAGCCCCAGGGGGGCTCCCAAGATGCCCCCAAGAGACCCCCAGGACGCCCCCCAAAGGCTTCGAAACTGCTTCCAACAAGCCCCCGAGAGGCCTCCCACGATATCCTAACGATCACCATCGTCATCATCATCATCATCATCATCATCACCATGATCACCGCATTCGCCACCATCATCAGCGCCATCATCATAATCACCACCACCATCATCATCATCGCCATCTTCATCATTCATCCCCGTCATCGTTATCATGCTGGACTGGCACAGTGGCGGGGCTCGCCGCAGGCAGCTGGGATAACAAGGATGCGCAGAATCCGGGGCAAACCACCGCGCACGGCGCGTCGGCCTTGAACTTCGCAGCGGCTGGAATGGCGCCTCGGGCAAGAGAGGGGGAGGGGCGGACGGGGGTGGGCGGGTCAGGGCGGGAGGGAGGGCGGGAAAGGAGGGGGGGGGAGGAAGGGCCGGGGTGGCGAGGGCGCCTGAGTCCTTGACGTAGGCGTCCGAGAGGAACTTCTGCCGCACGGGGTCCAAATTCTCTGTCAGGCCGATCGGTCTCGCGTCGTCGGCGTCCCTGGAAGTGGCGCGGCGAACCTCGGCCGCGAGCGAGTCCGTGCGGATCGGCTCGTCCTTCGAGGACAGGTCCATCAAGACGCCCCCGATGCGGTCCTCGCAAGTCCGCGCCAGCCTGCCCCTCGGCCTGCGCCGAGAGGCGACGCCTCGGGGGCCGTTCTCCGCCCACTCCGCCTTCAGCTCTGCCATCTTCGCCCGGTACTCCGCTCGAGACCCGAACCTGGCGCCCTTCGTCTGGGAGTTAGCCCATGCTGGGAACGAAAGTTGTCGATCTGAAGCCTTCGCGCGCGCTGCCCTGCCCTGCTTCTTCGCCGCGCACTGGATCGGCGCGCCCATCTCAATCAACTTGCCGCGGGCAACCGCCCTCACATCGGACCCGCCGGCGCGGAGGTGCTCGGGCAAGATGGCGGCCAAGAAGCCGTTGCTGATGAGCCTCTCGACGTTGCGCCTCAAGGCCGAACTCCGACGAATAAGAGCGGACGCCCGCTCCTGGATCACGTTGCAAGCCAACGCCGAATCAGACCACATGCTTACGGCTGCCAGCGCCGCACCGTTCTCAACCAAACCCGCGGCGTTCAAGGCGAAAGTCCTGATCTTCATGCCCATGCCCTTGTCGAAGCAACACTCGGAACGCGCGTGGAGGTCCTCGGCGCGCGAACGACGGACAGTCGGGTCGGGATCCGCCAAGCGAGCTAAGCGGAACGGCCACTGGAAGCATCGACAACGAACGCGTCGCCAAATACACCGAGATAGAAGTAATATGACGCCGTGCGCGATCTTCAGGAACAGGCCGAAGGTCTCCGCGTCGTGCCAATAGAAGTGCCTCGCCAAGGTCGCAATGGTCGTCGTCACGGGGCGGAACATGAATGCGCTGCACGCCGCCATGCAGTTGAGGGCGGGGTTGTTCGCCGCGCCTGCGAGTACCTTGATGCTGCCGCCCTTCACGTCCAACTTCTAGATGCACAGCATGAGGCGCTCGGCTGGCGCGGCGATCCAGCAGTGAAGCGACGATTTGACGTCGGCCAATTCAGATGCGAACCACAACTTTACTCTGTAAGATTTGCTTCTGACCATCTTTGCGTAGTCATCGAGCGCGCCGTCAACGGCGTGCTGGGGAGAATTCCAATCGCCGAATGCGAGCCGCCACGCCCGGGGCAGAATCCCGTGCAACATCATGCCAGCCACCAGCAGAGCCATCCGGGCCGTGGTCGACAACCATCGGGACTTCGCCACCTTTGCAAGGGGGGCGTCAACCAGCAATCGTCACCTCCCCCCCCCATCCCCCTCCCCCCCCCCTCCTCCCCCCCCCAATCCTCTGCCGGGGGGAGGGGTAGATAAACCCAATGCCGAAGGGCCCCCCTCTCCTCTTCCCTCTCCTCCCCCCGCCCACTCCCTCCCTCATCGCCCCGCCTGCTCCGCCCTTCGCCCCCTCCTCCTTCGCCCCCTCACTCGGGGCGGGCGCGAGAGCGACTGCGCGCCCTCATGTGGGGGTGGGGACTGGGGCCGCTCAAGGGTATTTATAAGCTGGGAGCCTCGCCTTGATCCTGCTTACGTCCCCGAAGATGCCCGAAGCCCTGAGAGCAGCCGTGTAGCTGTTCACTTGCGTAGCTCTGGTCGCATTGCCGTGCTCATCGGCGCAGCAGCCTCGACAATAATGCGTCAGCGTCTGATCGGCGATGTTGCCGTTCACCATGGCGCGGAGGGACGGCAAGGCGGCCAGGGTCGTCTTCCCCCTGCACCGACGGCTCTCATCAACAGGGGAATCCTCGGCCCCAGAGCGCACCTGGCTCAGCGTGCGCACGATGGTGGACTGGATGACGGCGCCCACGTGCCACGGGTGCTCCTCTGGCGGGGCCCCCGAGAAGACCACCAGATCTCTTGTGACAATCCGCTCGAGAGCTCTGTGTAGCTGCTCCCTCCTCTGCCTTACGTCCAGGACGACGTCAGCAGCATGAACGTGCCCAACCACGTTGCCCTCCCCCAGCGACTTCGCGATGTCGGCGTTGATGATGTGACACGCGCAACCATTGTGCTCATTGTAACCGAAGTTCCTACAAGGACGAAAATCAGCTGCGATCTTGCGCTTTAATCGAAGCATGGCGTTACAACTGTCAGGGCAATCGTCGACGATGGCAAATCCGACGTTCATGTCCCTGATGTTAGCGAGAGAAAAAGGCCCCGATCGTTTCTCCAAGCACTCCATATTGTTAGAAGCAGTGTTATTCTGGATCATCGCCGGTGCGAAGATCAAACCCTGGCGGGCCGCTTGGACCTTCCCGGGCCAGGGGTCAGCCTGGCCTAGCCCGGCGGACCAGTCAAGAGACATCGACATGGAGAAGAGGTCCACGATTCCCATGTCTGGACTCCCATGCGGATTATCTTTTCTGTACTCAGCGTATGTCACTGTAGTCCACCTGGAATACCCGTTCGGATGATCAGCAGGCGGTTGGACTTTTTTGGGATACCTGGCCTCCTCCCGCATCTCTGGAGCCATCTTGCCAAACTTCACGAACACGGGCGTTGTGTCGTAGTTGCGCTTCACGAACAGGCCTGCAGGCCGCGCAGCCTGAATTCGGCCCTTGACGTCTTCCCATCCTCGACGCAGCATGCGCTGCGCAAGTCCAGCAACGGCGAGCACGTCGTCCAAGGCTCGCCGAGTCCCGTCGACACTGGTGGCCCCCGACGCCTGCGTGCCCACGGACTTCCCGATCTGTTGAAAGGCCGACTTGATAGTTCCAGCGACGGTATACGTATTGCTATGTGTCCACGTCTTCGGAACTTGCGTTTGACCACTGCCCTGAAGTGTTTTCTGCGCTAAATCTCCATGGCGCCTGGGGTGCAAGTCCCATGCACTGGCCAACTTCGTGTGCGCATCCTGGAGTCGATCTGGCTGCCGATTGCGTCCGTGGCGTTGTTCGGCAACCATCTTCCCGAACAGCGAAGACCCCATGCAACCCCATCTGGAATCACTGCGCGCTGCTGTGGCCCTGCGCTCGGCGAGTGATCCTCCAACGCCGTCTCGAAGAAGTCGGCGTCGGCGTCGTCGCCCCAGAGCATAGCGTCTACCTCATCATCATCATCCGGAGCTGGATCTGGAGGAAGCATTGCCTGAGCAACGTCTGGAGGAGGCCCATCACCATCAGACAATGTTTCAACAAACAACTCATCAACGAAATCCGATTCAATATCAGCATCAACGCCCTCGGACACACTACATTAATGTCGGAGCCAAACCGGCTACGGAAAATCAGCGACGAAGACCCACCAGTCTTCCGGCCGTAGGTCGTCTTGGGAGTTTCCTCTTCCAACCCCCATTCTCCCCCATTCGGGGAGGGGCTTACCTCTCCCCCCACCCCCATCCCCTGGACCTGGACGGGCGTGGGCCGCGACGCGTTGGAGCGTCCAAGATGGCCCAAGAGCGCTCCAAGAGCGCCTCGGAGAGCCCAAGCTGGCCTCCAAGATGGCCCAAGATGTCCCAAGATGCCTCAAGATGGTTTCCAATGCTCCAGGTGGCACCAATACCGCCCCAAGACGGCTCCACCTGGCCTCCGAGACCTCCTAGGAGGCTCCCAAAAAACCAAAACCTTTCCAACACCTACAGCGAATAAATTACGTTTGCGTCGTCGCCCGCTCGCGCTCGATAGCCTTCCGAGGCCTCAAGATGGCTCCAAGATGGCCCAAGAGGGCCCCAAGCCCAAGAGAGCCCAATATGGCCCCAAGACCGCCCCAGGGGCGCTCCAAGAGGGGTCCAGGATGCGATTTTTGTTGGGGCTCCCGAGGGGCAGTGCTACTTGGAGCTCCCCCTTCTTTGATCGATCTCCTCCAAGATGGCCAGGAGACCCCAAGAGGCCCCCAAGAACCCCCCAGGGGACCCCACGCGGCCCCCCCGAGGCACCCAGGACGCCCAAGAGCCCCCCTGGATTCCCCGTTCCCTCCTCCATCCATCCATCCAGCCTCCTCCTTCTCCTTCTCCTCATCCCTACTTCGCTCGGTTTGGCTGTCCCCGTCTTTTCTCCCGCACTTCCCTAGTCACCTCAACTCGCCTGGGCATCGTTTCTGGATGGGCTGGTGGGGATGCGGCTGATGCGCGAAACGTCAATAATTTCGGATTTTCCCCACAACGACGCGGCCGCGACTCGCAACCAATCTAATTCGAGAAGCCCTGTGCGACAGGGTGCACTATCTACTGCCTTCTACTCACTGTTTCTTGAGTTTCGGGAGCCACTTGAAAGCTGGGTGCCCGATGGAAATGCATCTGATGCGGCCGGAGCGCACGCGGAGGGCCGACCCCCTCGGCCCAGAGAGCTCCAAGAAGAGCGAATCAGCCCCTGCTGATACAGCATATCTCCGGGCCGAGGGATGCAACCAACTGCGCGTTCGCGCCTGCCGCCATTCTTAACGGCGCCGGCGGCCCTAAGCTTCGGGGGGCTCATGTCCCTCAGAAGATCGCCATCGAACAAGTCGGCCCGCTCGACATCGCCGCCGCCGCCGTTGTGCTCGCCGCCCGAATCCTGGGGGCCATCGAGGACGACTACGTCTTTCCGAAGGAACTCTCGGGCCAGAGCGTGCATCCCCCTGTGCTCGAGGCGCCGAACTATCAACGCGTCACCAGGCCCGATTGCCATGGCAGCGCGACCCCGTCTGGCCGAAGGGGGGGGGACCTTGACCCGAGAAGGCTGCCGCCGCCGCCGTTTCTCCCGCCCCCTTCCCCCGCTGGCCCTGGGCCCAGACCTCGACTCACCCGACGCATTCACGCAGGGCGACCCCTGGCCCCTGTTCCTGAATGAGCTGGGCAGGAAATCCGCCATCTATGATTACACAGTTGATCGGTAAGCCTATGCTATATGGTGTATGATACATGGTATATGATATATGATATATTATAAATATGCCATATGCTATACGATACATGATATGACCATGCTATATGTTAGATATGATATATGATATATCCACCTATGTATCGGAAACATATGCTATGTGATACACTATAGACTGATACTACTCGAGCTGAGTTGACTGCATATGCTAGTATATGTAATATCATACATACTACTTACTGCGATCGTATGGTGATATGTATTTCTTGAGTTCAATATGTCTAATGTGTTTGTAATTGTATGGTGGTATGTATTTCTTGAATTCAATATTTCTCATTTGTTTGTAATTGTATGTTCGCATACTTGGGGGCGATTTGTATTCCATGTATTCTTGAATTGTTTGTTGTGGATTGTTTGCTGCGATAATTGCATACCTACCTTAACAGGTTCATCCGAGAGCGTCTAGACATCGACGGGCAACCCGCCTCATACAATGCCCAGCTACCCTCGCCAGTTTGACAAGTGGCCCCGATTGACAGATTTGCCACTGGGAACAACGAGGGTTCCAGTCTCCCGAACGTCCACTGAAAAGTGACACAAATTGACAGGACATCTTTGAGCCCAGAAAATGGAAATCTCGGGTGAAATTTGTTGAGCCACCTCAGGTCTGGGCATCCCCGAAAACACAACCCCGACGATGTCTCAGGCGAAAAAGATCGGGACCACGTGAGGTGAGGACATAAGACGTACATAAGCCCGGAGTGGCAATGATATCCCAAGCGAAACGAACAGTCAACGGCAACTGCGAGCCCAAAGCAGCGAGGAAACGGGATCTGATACCGTGCGGCAAGAGCATCGACTAGTCCAGAATAACGAGGATGCACCGGGCGAAGATTGCTCTGCGAGAATGTTTCAAACCAAAAAAAGCTAGACCGCCTCATGACAGCGGCGAACCGGCCGAAGCGAGATGGGCTGGACTGTCTCTCGCGCAGCAACTCGAAGCCCATAACTGCAAGGATGTCTCGAGACCGGCTGGACCGCCTCACAGGCGGCATCTCAAGGCCCAAATTACCGATGATGGCTTCGCCGAAACCGACCCAGACAACTTCTAGCATGTGGTCTCCTAACTCAGAAACCCACTCATTTTCTGGGCAGGAGATGGTCAATCGCGGTTCCTTGTCCAACCCCAATGTTCCCCTTCGGGGATGGGGTCGTTGCTGCTCCTGCAGGATGTTTGCCACCTCGCCCAATCTACCGACCGCTAACCCGAGTCACTGCCACCCCCCTCGATTCAAACCAACAACAAATTGTAATACCCCCAAGCGGCTCCCCCATTGGAGCTCGGAAATGCGATGCGATCTGTCGGAACGATGATCA